AACTAAAGCCCTCCAGACCAGACAACATCCTAGTAAACCTTCTCTGCACCCTTTCCAAAGCATCCACGTCTTTCTGGTAGTATGGCGACCAGAACTACGTGCAATATTCCAAATGTGGTCTAACTAAAGTTTTGTACAGGTGTAACAGAACTTGCCAACTTCTATATTCGATGTCTCCATTGGCTGGGGCAATCGTGCTGTATGCTTCTTCATCAACTTATCCACCTGTGTTGCCACTTTTAAGGGTCCTGCCATTTATTGTATAATCCGCACTTGAATTTGACCTTCCAAAATGTATCACCATGCATTTGTCTGGATTAAACTCCATTTGCCATTTCTCTGCCTAAATCTGCAATCTATCCATATCCCCCTTTATCCTTCGACAATTCTTCTCACTATCTGCAACTCCGCAAACCCTTGGTGTCTTCCACAAACTTACTAACCAGACCATCAACATTTTCTTCCAGATCATTTCTATATGTTACAAACAACAAAGGTCCCAGTACTGGTCTCTGTGGAACACCACTGCCATGAAGCCATCAAGCCTCCATCAAGAAGCAGAGAGTAATAGTGGAAGGATGCGTGTCAGACACCAGTGACTAATGGTGTGCCTCAGGGGTTGGCGCTGGAACCATTGTGGTTTGTTATCTACAGCGATGATTTGGATGAGTGTGTACAGGGCATGATTAGTAAGTTTGCGGATGACACTAAAATAGGTGGTATCGTGGATGGTGAAATTGCAGCAGGATCTTGATCAGCTGGGGATGTGGGCCAAGAAATGGTAAATGGAGTTTAATGTAGATAAGTGTGAGGTGTTGCATTTTGGAAAGTCAAATCCAGGTAGGAGTTTCATGGTGAATGGTAGGGCCTTAAGGAGTGTAGTGGAATAGAGGGACCTTGGAGTTCAGTTGCACAGTTCTCTGAAAGTGGAGTCACAGGTAGATAGGGCAGTGAAGGAGGCTTTTGGCACACTAACCTTCATCAGTCAGGACATTGAATATAAAAGTTGGGAAGTTATGTTGCAGTGTACAGGGTGTTGGTGAGGCCACACTTGAAGTATTGTATTCAGTTTTGGTCAACTTGCTGTAGGAAGGATGTTATTAAATTGGAAAGAATGCAGAAGAAATTACAAGGATGTTGCCAGGACTCAAGAGACTGGGTTATAGGGAGAGGCTGGACAAACTAGGACTTTTTTCTTTACAGCGTAGGAGACTGAGGGGGGACCTTATAGAAGTGTATAAGATCATGACAGGCATGGATAGGGTGAATGCACTCAGTCTTTTTCCCAGGGTTGGGGAATTGAGGACTAGAAGGCATCAGTTTAAGGTAGGAGGGGAAAGAATACTTGGGAACCTGAGCGGCAACTTTTTTACACAGAGAATAGTATGTATATGGAATGAGCTGCCAGCAGAAGTGATTGAGGCGGGTACATTAACAGGCATTTGGATGAATACAAGAATACAGGAAAGGTTTGGGTGTGGGTCAAGTGCAGGGAAACAGGGTTAGTGTGGATGGACATTTTGGTCGGCATGGACCAATTTGGGCCTGTCACCACGCTGTAGGACTCTATGACCACCTGTTACTGATCTCCATTTTGAAAAGCCCCCTGCTACTCTGTCTTCTATGACCAAGCCAGTTCTGTGTCCATTTAGCCAGCTCACCCTGGATCCCGTGAGACTACCTTTTAGTACCAGTTGCCATGAGGTACCTTATCAAATGCCTTACTAAAGTCCATGTAGACAACAGCCTTCTCTCATCAATCATTCTCGTCACCTCCTCAAAAAACTGATCAAGTTGGTGAGCCATGACTTTCCCCACATAAATCCATGCTGCCCATCACTAACATGTCCATTCGCTTCCAAATGTGAATAAATCCTGTCTCTCAATACCTTCACCAATAGCCTCCCCATCACTGATGTCAGGCTCACTGGCCTGTAATTACCTGGATTATCTTTGTTTCCCTTTTGAAACAAAAGAACAAGATTGGCTGTTAAACTTGAAAGCGTTCAGAAAAGATTTACAAGGATGATGCCAGCACTGGGGGGGGTTTGAACTATAGGGAGAGGTTGTTTGGCTGGGGCTTCTTTGTTTGGAGCATCGGAGGCTGAGGGGTGACCTTACAGAGGTTTATAAAATCATGGGGGGTATGGACAGGGTGAATAGACAAGGTCTTTTTCCAAGGGTAGGGGAGTTCAAAACTAGAGGACATAGGTTTAAGGTGAGAGGGGTAGGATTTAAAAGGGGCTGGAGGGTCAGCTTTTTCACGCAGAGGGTGGTGAGTGTATGGAACAAACTGCCAGAGGAGATGGTGGAGAATGGTACAATTACAACATTTAAAAGGCATCTGGATGGTATATGAATAGGAAGGGTTTAGAGGGATGTGGGCCAAATGCTGGCAAATGGGACTAGATCAGTTTGGGAGCTTACCGACTCCCACAGCTACCTAGAATACACCTTCTCTCACCCACCTTCCTGCAAGAATTCCATCCCCTATTCCCAATTCCTTCACCTCCGCCGCATCTGCTCCTGAGATGAGGCATTTCACTCCTGGACATCCCAGATGTTCCCTTTTTTCATGGACCGCAACTTCCCCTCCACAGTGGTTGAAAACGCCCTCGACCACATCTCTTGCGTTTCCCGCAACTCATCCCTCACACCCCCTCCCCGCAATAACAACAAAAACAGAATTCCCCCTCGTCCTCACATACCACCCCACCAACCTCCAGATTCAATGCATTATCCTCCGACACTTCCGCCATCTGCAATCCGACCCCACTACCAAGGACATTTTTCCCTCCCCACCCTTATCTGCCTTCCGGAGGGACCACTCTCTCCGTGACTCCCTTGTCCGCTTCACACTCCCCACCAGCCCCACCACACCCGGCACTTTTTCCTGCAACCGCAGGAAGTACTACACCTGCCCCCATACCTCCCCCCTCACCCCCATCCCAGGCCCCAAGAAGACCTTCCACATCAAGCAGATGTTCACCTGCACATCTGCTAATGTGGTATACTGTATCCGCTGTTCCCGATGCAGCCTCCTCTACATCGGGGAAACCAAGCGGAGGCTTGGGGACCGCTTTGTGGAACACCTACGCTCGGTTCATGACAAACAACTGCAACTCCCACTCCCACTCCTTGGACGACATGTCCATCCTGGGCCTCCTCCAGTGCCATAACAATGCCACCCGAAGGCTGCAGGAACAGCACCTCATATTTTGCTTGGGGACCCTGCAGCCCAATGGTCTCAATGTGGACTTCACAGGCTTCAAAATCTCCCCACCCCCGACCTCATCCCAAAACCAGCCCAGCTCGTCCCCACCTCCTTGACCTGTCCGTCTTTTCTCCCATCT